TATGAGAGTTGAATGAAAAGAAATGCCTCCAATGTTATAAATTGCCAACAGATGGCAGTGCTGGGATGCTAGAAACTCTGACATGTTTTCTAGCATCTGTTCTTTTATTTCAGTTGAGGGGAAGTTGCTGTGAGTAAAGGTTGTGTTGTTATTGTTCATGAATTCGTTGACAGTGACTACTCATCCATGAAGTTTAAGCAACATGTCATTATTGAATGTTTGACTCCCAGAGGAATCCTTCCAGTTGAAATTCAACACCAAATGTAGGTTGTTTATGGTGAAGACTAAGTAGTGGCAGTCACTGGGCCAAAACATTTAAAGATGGTGAACCAGGAAGAGCTGATTTGTGTGATCAAGGATGAAGTGGGTGACCTGTGACAGCAAATGACAAGTTTCACTTGAGAAAGGTTGATGAACTGATTAATTGGGAGATCACTCTAAGGGAAATTGCTGCTAAGCTTGGCATTTCACAAGAACCTGTGGGTCACATTATTGATGTTCTTCAGTCTCAGGTTTGTACACGTTGAATCAACTTGATGGTTCCTCCCATCCTGATGTGAGAAATGAGAGCTTCAAGAGTTGAAATTTTCCAGCAAATGCTATCATGCTGTGAGAATGAAAGTGAGGAATTTCTATACAGTATTGTGACAGCCAAGAAAACATGGGTTCATCCTTACAGATAGTCCTCACTTAGCGACCACAATTGGGACTGGCAACTCCATTGCTAAGTGACATGGTTACTTTTTCAGCCCTGTTGTAATTTTGAAAATGCAAAGTTACTTTTTCAGCGCCATTGTAACTTTCAAGGTCTACCTGTATTACCAAGAAATGAAGCATCAGTTCATGAATTATCACCATGAAGTTTCATCAGCGAAAAAAATTAAAAACCAAGGCTTTAGCAGGAGAACTCACAGTCACAGTTTTTGGGGATGCAGATGGTGTTATTCACATGAATTTTCTTGAACCTGGCACCTCTATCAACTCAGAGCACTACATTGCAACACTCAACATTTTTAAACAATAATTAAGCAGATTTTGGAAGCACAAAAAGGAAATTTTGCTGCAAGATGACCAAGTTTAGCCTCACCCCTCAGAAACCTCTCAAGATGCAATTGTGAAGCTGGACCTCACCATCTTATCCCATCCACCATACAGTCCAGACTTCCACCTTTTCCCCAGATTGGAGAAACATTTTTGTGAGCATCTATTTGACTCAAATGTAGAGATGGAAAGTATGATCAGTACCTGGTTGAAGAGACAGTGTGGACTTTTTTCATGACATTTTTAAGAAGCTTGTCTATCATTGACAGATGTTTGTAGAGAATGGTGATGATTATGTGGAAAAATACAAAAAAAGAGCTTATTTCAATGATTGATTTTGTTTCATTTATTAAAATATCCTTATTTTAACTAAAGTTATGAAGATGGAGTTGTTACTTTACATTCAACCCTCATATTTACAACCTTATAGTATAGGCCTAACTATGGATTCCTTAACTCTGTATTTTCTGGCATCCAAAACTCTATTCAGGTATAATGTGTGAGTAGGACTTTTGTGCATGCGTGTGTGTGTGCCTTTGAGTCAGTTTTTGACTCCTGGCAACTGCCTGGACAAGTCCCTGCAGTTTACTTGGCAAAATTTTTCAGAAGTGATTTGCCCTGGCCTGCTTCTTCCTGGGGCTGAGAGAGAGTGATTGATATCTTGACCCTACACCAAACCGGTGTAAAAGGCATGGGGTCTATGGAGCCAATGTCCTCAAGTGGGCTTGTGGATAATTGCCCAGCCTGCTACCCTCAAGAATTCCTAGCCAACCTATATATAGTAAAAGGAATGCGGTTAACAGAGGGAACTTTTAGAAATATGTACAGCCTAATTTACTTCTAACAAATCATCTTTAGATATGGATTTATTCTGGAGCAAATGTTTGCTCCTCTTTTTTGCTATTCCTACATTCTTGTAAGAAAGATAATTATATAAGCCAGGACAGCTTTGAGCCAGACCTAACTGAATACTATTTAGTAGCTGAATTCATATCACACTCAGAAGCCATAGTGTGATTTGATTTTTCTTAGTACGTTGAGTGAACCAACCATGGTTTGTAGAATCACGGTTGGTTCAGAGCTTAATAAACCAGCTACATATAGTTGATTTTATAAATAGTGATTAAGCAAACCATAGACTAGAGCAGTGTTTCCCAATCTGGGCCACTCTGAGAAGTGTGGACTTCAACTCCCAGAATCTCCCAGCTAGTCTGACCATTGCTGAGAATTCTGGGAGTTGAAGTCAGTACATCTTAAAGTTGCAGAATTTGGAAAACACTGAGAGTACTGTGTGAGCAAAACCAATTACTTGAATGTGAAATAACATTCCCTGGATGTCTAGATGGTGGTGGTGGTGATTTGGTGGAGAAAAACTACAGTGCTGACTAGAGCTCTGGTTGCACTCTGTGGGTCCCACATTCTGATGTATGTTGCGAAACGTTTTAATAGGTTGATGTCAGCTACTATATACAAGTGGGCCAGGAGTTCCGCTTGGCAGTGGCAGCTTTGGCCCACTGTGCAACAAAGACTGGTGTAACACACTTGCTGTGGCAACAAGTAGAGCTGCATATTCATTCAACGAGGCAGCACAGGCCTAATTGTGATGCCAGTCCTGTCCCAGTCTTCATGCTTTGAGAGGAGAACTGTAATAATCAAGAGCAGAATAAACATTCTGTAAAAGATTGGTCTGCACCGATCTCCCATCTCTGTCCTGTCCTGTTTCCCACACTCCCTGTTCCATATGTGACTTGGGGAGCTATTTCCCTTCTCCAATCCTCATCAATGGCGGTCTTCTCTTCTGCTGACCTCCCAATGCTGAGGAGCAGCAAAGGTTCATTGCCCCCGACAGAGCTGCAGTTCTTGGTAGCACTAAAATCCTTTCACCCCTCCCATTCCGCAAAAAAGAGAATAAAATAAACTCTTCACCCACACACGCATTCCACATCCTTATTTAATGTCTTTAAATTTGTCTTGTCAAATGCAAAACAACCAAGTGATTTCTACATGGAGGGAGCTGCAAAATCTGCTAGATGGTTGAAACCCAGGAGCACTGAACTGAGGAAAGTTCCTGCAAATTGAGGAAGATCCAGAACCATAACATTTAAAATAAGACTGGTTCTGCTATGGTTTCAAATACATCAGAGCTGAGCCAGAAATAAATTGGCTAAGCTCTTAAACAGTTGAAATTATGGGAACGTGGACGTTTGGAGCTGCTTTCAAAATGGCTCATTATCCTTGCATAAAAATATCCTGTTTTTCTACTTTTAACCCTGGAGGTAAAGTTCTCTCAACAGAGAGGAGAGTTCCTTTGAGAAGTACTGTTGCCCTGAAAATTGAACTAAAATATAAATTCAAAAATACAAAACAAGCAGATAACTGAAATGCATTTGAAACTCATAGACTCTTTCCTGAGTATTCATCTGTTCATTTGTTACCTTTATATCCTGCCTTTCGTTCCCTCTCCCATTTTCCCCAACAGCAACCCTGCAAGGTAGGTTAGGCTGAGAATTATGGAGTAAGCATAACAGCAATCCTTATGCCAACTCCCAGAGCTGCAGTCTAACCTGAGGAATTCTTCTCCCTCAGCATTAATAGTTTCAGTATGTGTCCACCGTGTAAATACTCTGCTCTGCTTATCTCAGGGAACTGAAACAATATCTGCTGGCCTAAATACACCACTTGTGTTTCTCTCAGCCAGCGCTTCACCATCTTTGCTGTTTCCACTGCTTACTTCTGGCTCACCTTTCCTTCTTTTCTCCCTGCGGGTCTCCCTGATGGATGCAAGTAATTTCAACTTGCTAAATGTCTTCATGCCTGTGTTATTTGCAATAGTCTGAAAAGCAAGGTAGCCACATCAGCTGGGCCCATTCCTTGATCAGTGTGCGGTGAGTGGACTGGCCTTGGGTCTGCTGCAACAACTTGTGAATGTTGCTGTTAAAAGGCACAGGAGCTGCACAAACTGTTCTTTCTTTCATTTTTTTAAAGTACCCCTGTGTATCCATAATCTCCTCTGCCTAATTGCATGGTCTCATGAAAGAGTCTTATTTTAATTATGGCTGAGTTGTTTGGTTTTAAAAAATAAGTAGAAAACATGTTTAGTTCTAATGACAGGGCAAAAATATCAGTGTGGTGAGATACCAAATATACTGCTATGTTTTTGTTAACCTCTCTTCCATGGTGTGTTTGCACGACTGAAAATACTTTAAACATATTTTAAATGTAAATATGTAGATGCCGTTGAATTTCTGAATCAAACCAAAGGTAGGCAATGATGATTTTCCTCGTGTACCGAAAACAGAGTATAATCAGCTGAATTCATTATAACCTCATAAGGTTCTTTTGCTGCCTAGCATTTGCAAGCCACTGTTGATCTGTTACATGCTATACACAGCCTGCGGTATAGAGGAAGATAACCCAGGATGTCTTTTCAAAATACAGGGCCAGGAACCGTTAGGGCGAAGGCAAGGAGCGGCACCCTGCGGCTGTGGAGCCCGTGAAGGCTGGGACGCTCTGGACCTCCGTCTTCCTGCAGGTTCCAACAGAGTCCTTTTTACCTCGCGGAGGTCCTTGGGTCGGAATAAGCGGCTCCTGATAAGCAGCGCTGCGCTGGAATGGAAAACAAGCAGCGGCAGCGTCTAGCCTGGGACTGGGGGCAGCTCCTCCGGGCAAGCAGGACTGTCTGCTTAGCTAAGCACTCGGAGCTTCCAGCCCGGCGAGCGAGTCTGACTGCACGCTGTGGTGGAGCTGCTGCCAAAAAGGCCACCCACATTTCTCCTCTGCCGCTGCCCTTCCCGGGACAGCCCCGCGCGCTCTCGCATTCTGCGGACGGCGCGAGGGCATCGGCGTCCTGACTCTGCGGGAGATGGAGCCCCGGTGGGAGGAGACCTCCCTGCTGAAGAAGCGGGAACGAGGCGAGGTGGAGCGAGAGAAACCGAAGCGGCCCAGGGAGGGAGCAGGTGTCGTGGGCATCGCTCGGCTGGGAGGAGACGCTCCGCCGAGCCGCCGAGCGGAGGGGAGACTCCAGGAGGAAGGCGAGGGCCAAGGACGAGGGGATTCCTCGAACGACGCCGTCCAGCGACAACGGCCCAACGGCTGCAGCAAAGCCGCGGGGCAGCAGCAGGAGGTCTCCGCAGAACAAGGCGGGAGGCCCACCCGACCCGGCTCGGCCCCGGATGAAAATGTGAGGCTCCCTGCTCCGAAGCAAGAGGTGGTCATGTTGCAAAGAAGAGCGGCGGAGACTCTGCAGCCCCCTGGAGAGACGAGGGGCTCCGACGATACCCTGATGGGGGAGCTCTCTGAGTTGGTACACAGGGTGGTGAAGAACAGCAGCTGGTGGGAGAGGCACGGCGTGGATGACACCATTATTGCCCTGAACTTCCTCAGCCTACCGCTAGGTAAGGAAGGGGCTCCCGCCGGACGCTGCTTAACCGTGTTTGGTGGGCGGGAGGGTCCTGTAATTCCACGTTGGGTTCTACTCTGTGAAATCCACTGTCATTAAGCCGCCTGCCCGTCCTACCGGTCCTCCCGTTCGGTAGAGTTGAGGCTATCCCCTGGCCAGAGAAGGTTGGGATTAAAGACCGCTGGTTATCCTTCTCTGAAGACAGAGAGGCACGTTTCAGGCAGGCTGCCCCGGAACAGTCCTTAAGGTGGGGGTGTTACTTCTTCCCCAGTGTAGGTCGAAGATCCAGTTGGTGGCCTGGTTGGTGTCTGGGTAGGTGATGTAACTGGGAAAGCCACTGAGGAAAAATAACAAAGCACATGGCAGCACCTTAAAGAATAACAGATTCCTTATTGCAGAAGCTGGTATAGAAATGGATGTGATTCATGCATGTGTATGCAGGAATAAATATGTTAATCTTCATGTAGGAAAAAAATAACACAACTGCTCTTTTGGAAACTAAGAAAGTGTGTAATCCTGATGGCTGAGCAGCATCTAGCAATGAAATCTTGTCCTACTTAAGAGTTTATTTGGAATTTCTGCCTGTCTACCAAGGGATGGGCAAGATGAAATGGAAATTTTGCCTGATCTCAAGTGCAGCAGCCTGTGGGTGGTTTGTTTGTTTGTTTTTTGGCATGCTGGCAACAATTTTCATTTAGCAACATGGCTTAATATTGTCTGATGTGCAATACAAAAGAGACAGTATTGGGACATATATTAAAAATAAGCCAGTATAAGCACTATTCCAGTGCTATCATCATTGACATTGGAACAAGACAGATTCTTAAAGAGTTTGTCATTCAAGTTTAGTTTCAAGGCATATGTGGCAAAATGTATTAAACAAGGAGAATGATAGTGGATGAACTTTTCTACAGTAATTTAAAACTGCATTACCTCGATTTATTGTATTTATTTCCTGCAACCCTGTGAAACAGCTGGGTTGAGAGTGATTAGCTCAAAGTTACCCAGTAAGCTCCATAGCTGAGTGGAACTTGAATCTGGGCTTCAACGTCTTAACTACGACACTACGCTATTGGTTTAAGGGTTGTTCTGCATGGCAACACTAAGGTGTTGCTTTCTAGTTTGGACAGCAGAAAACTCTGCCAGTTTAAGGAAGTTCTGACTGTACTTCCAACCCCTACTTTGCCTTGGCAATGAAGCAGACCAGGTGTTTTGTCCACACCAGAAGCAGGGAGGGGTGGGGAACACCTCCTTTGATGCCAGTTACTGGCTGCAGAAAACAGTGACCCTTCTGCTGTCAGATCTCCAATCCCAGGGAATGGCACTCCCTGGAATTGGAGAACTGGCCACAAAAGAGCTGTTCTCCTCCATTTCTCTCTCCCTCTTCTCTTGCTGCCTGGTGGGGAAAAGGGGGGGGACAACAAATCTTTTTAGTTTCCTTCCTACAGGGAAAGAAAATGGGGAGGAAGTGCATGGCAAAGCTGCCCAGGGACGCTGGCATAAGAACTCCATGGGCTGCTTTAATTTGGAAAGTTTCACTGTGGGGCTTCTAACAGCTGTGCCGTGGGCTCCATGGTGAAGCTGCCCGTGACTTGTTCTGTGAAGAAGTACTGGCCACAGCCCTAGGAGGAAACTGTGGGTCATTTCATTGCAGTTCCATAATGAAGCTGCCTGTGGTTTCCTTGCAGGTCTGCCGGATCTTGCAGCCCTGTGAGAAGGCCTACAGAACTGGCAGACCTGCGGAGAAGCCGAGCACAGAACTGCCAGTAACCCTGCGGGGAAGCAGCGTTTTGTACATATATCAAGCACTCTGCCACTCGACCACTGGACATGTATCAGCTTAACATGAGTCTGTGGCATAGAAGTGGGGCAGCAGCATGTGTCAAGCGTGGCCCTCATGAGTTCGGTGTGGGGGTATCAAAGTTGTGGAGTTGGGGTTGGATATTCCCCAGTTGCAAGAGCTGGTCTTGACACATGTTACTGATCTGCTGTTGACACATGTCAATATGACACATGTCCAACGGTCTCTAGGGTCACCAATGAACTCGTGTACTAAAAACTTCTCCTACTTCAGTGCAAGCTATACTGTGGTGGCAGCAGCTGTACTGCAGGGAAGCACCCTGCAGGAAACTTGTGTTGGGGGTCCTCTTAGTGCCAAAATAGCCAGCCTCCCGAAGTTTCCTTCTTCTCTCACTTTCCTGTCTCCCATCAGTTAGGAAGAGAAGTGTGAGAGATGGGTATTTTGCTCAGCAGAGAGCCTTGACTGCCCACTGCCGAAAGGTGAATGGCCCTGAAAACCAGAAGCCAGGCAGTGGAGGGGAGAATGGCCAATAGGAGCAGGATAGTTTCCTTTTCCCCAAACTTTGCTGAGAATGATTTGCTAACCCCTTGGCTCAGCTTGCGCCAACAGAAATATAAAAGCATTGTTTTTACAGAGGAGCGAGAAATGAGCAGAGGCTGCCTTTGTGGTGGCCCGGGGCAGGGAGGTTTGAGGACAGTGCAGTGCGTTCCTTTTGAGAAATTGCATATGGGCAGTCCCCACACCAGAGCAAGCAGGGTGGATGAGCCCTAAGCAATCATTGTGGGAGTAGTACTGTTGATCTAAGATGATGAATTCCAGATAAGACAGAGGTGACCCATCTCTGTATTCTTCAGTGCCTTTATTTTGCTACATAGTCCTACAGTTAGTGAAACTCTAAAATGTTACCCTTTATGTCAGAAAGGTCTGCAACAAGAACTCAGGGAAGAAAAGCATGACAGCTTGGCTTCCCCAAAGAACTGTCCTAAGGGCAGATTTGAAACACTTTTCTCTTCTGAAGTACTCATGAGAATAGAATACCTAAAATGCATTGGATGTGAACAAACTGTCTCACCACATTACCCAATAACAATCCACCCAAACATTATATACTATACGAGAGCCTTCTCCAATCTGATATCAGGCAGATATTTTGGTTTGTAGCACTTTCTGGCCCTAGCCAGCCTAGCTAAATGCCATGCGGATAGGAATGATATGTACTGTAGCCTAATACATATGGAAGGCACGAGGCTGGGGAAGCTGAAATAGGACCCCAAACAAAAGTATCAATGAAGTTAGAACTATTCTTTTTTGGAGAACTTCTGAAAACAAGTTCTTTATTCTGTAGGGCAAATTTTTGTTATGCCTTTACTCAAATTTAGTAGGAAGGCTCCAGTTCTGATTCACACTGTTCTTCCATGTATCTCCATTGGAGACCTTGGGTCAGCCACAATCTCTTGGCCTTATTTATATTGCATGTTTATTTTGAAGATAAAATAGGATAATGCAATAAATTCCTTGAAGAAAGGGCAGGACCCAGATACGATATGCATGCCAGATTCTCCTGTCTCCTGAGATAAAAAATGGCTATCACTTTGTCCAAGAGTATCTTATATGATTCATTTGATATATGATGAAGAGACTGACAACTAGGGAGAAGCATTGCTGTTAATAAAATGCTTTGCACCTATAAATATAGCAACATTATGCTATGCTGCAAGATGAACCCTGGTCCTTCAATTATTCCTAGGCTGGACAAATATTCATTGAGACTATTAATAGAACAAGGTGCCTGCTTATACTGTTAATCAATTATTCCACTAACATTGGGCTAATCTTACCCCATGAAAGTCATGTCTGGCAGATATACATTATTTTTGTATAGGAGATATGAGGATAATGCTTTCTAACATCAGATTAGAACCAGATGTGATAGCAGATCTGTAAGAGGCTAAAACATGGAATCATTACTGTCATGTCATCCTATCTGCTCGCATCCTAGAATGTGACAATACCACCTTGTCTCAAGGAATGGCCTTGCATAGACAGAGATGGTCATACTGAATTTTCTATGAATGGATGGTTCAGACAAAATAAATGCATCATATTCCCTAAAGTATTGAACTCAAAAATGGGTAAAATTGGGTCTTTAGTTATATATTTTAAAGAATGTTTATTTAATTATAACTGGGAGAGAGATATTAAAGATTATCATGCTGCAGCCTTCTCAACCTCTGGCCTGCCTTTCAAATATGGTTTGTGTTTCAAATGGGTTGGGGCTGCAACTCCCAGAATTCCCACAAATCTACCATTGCTTCAAGCGAGAAAAGTGCTGAATAACAAGAGCTCTGGATCAACTGAAATGCCCTGCTGGATCCTCAAAAAACAGAAATCTATGTATAACCCACAATTAAGCAATCCTTAAAGCGTTAAGCCTCACTAAACTGTAAACAGCAAACCAGTCTCCTGTATTCTGTCTACCTATCTACAGGCAACTGGCTAAAGAATAGAAAACAAAGAATAGGAGTAAATGGATATTTCTCACAATGAAGATATGTAACTAGTGGGGTCCCCCAAGGTTCTGTCCTAGGACTGGTGGTTTTTAACATATTTGTAAATGATCTGGGATTGGGTGTGACTAGTGGAATAGCTAAGATTGCTTATGACACCAAATTGTTCAGAGTGGTAAAAACAATACGGGACTGCAAACAGCTCCAAAAGGATCTCTGCACAAGTGGGCATCAAAATGTTAGACATCATTCAATGTGAGGAAGTGTAAAGTGATGCACACTGGAGCCAAAAATCCTAACTATAGATGCAAACTTATGGGATCAGAGCTAGCAGTGACTGATGAGGAAAGAGATCTTGGAGTAATGATAAACAGTTCAATGAAAGTGTTGACACAGTGTGCAACCACTATAAAAAAGGCCAACAACATCTTAGGGATAATTAGAAATCGTATTGAAAATAGAATTGTCAATATTTTAATGCCCACATCTGGAATACTGTGTCCAGTTCTGGTTGCTGCAGCTCAAAAAGGATATAGTGAAGTTAGAGAAGGTTCAGAGGAGGGCAACTATGATGATCAAGGGGCTGGAGCAGCTTCCCTATGAAGACAGTTTTCAACATTTGGGACTTTTTAGACTAGAAAGGAGGTGAATGAGAGAGGACATAACTGAGGTGTACAAAATTATGCATGGTGTGGATAATGTGGATGAGGAAAGCTATTTTCCCCTTCCCAAAATACTATAAACAGGGGCTACCCAATGAAATTGAATCCTGGAAGAATCAGGGCAGACAAAAGGGAAAAAATTACATAATCAAACTTTGGAATCCAGCACTACAAGATGTGTTGCTGGCTACCAGTTTGGCTGGCTTCAAAAAAGGGTTGGACCAATTCATGGAAGTCATGGGGATCCATGACTGTTAGCCTTGATGGCAGGGTGATGCCTCTGAAGGCCATCTGCTGGGAGGCTAGTGGGCTTCCTTGTGCAGTTGATTGGCCACTGTGAGAACAGGCTGCTGGACTAGATGGGCCAGGGGTCCAATCCAGCAGGCACTGCTTATGTTCTTATGTACCCAAGAAGGTGTTCTCCCTCTCTCCTGTAGCTCTGAACTAAACCTAGGTATCAAATTGTATTTGTCAAGACTGCCAAGAAAATGGGTAAATGACATTAATCTGACCTGCATTGTTGCATTCTTTGCTTGTATCTAGAAAGATTCTAAATGTTTCTTTTCCATTTCCAGGATTCCTGCTTCTGCGTTCCAGCAATCCTTTTGTGTTCTTGTTGGGCATTGCTATCCTGGGTGTGGCCCATCATACAATCACTGTGAAGGCAAGCCACTTGGCTAGCCACAATGCTCTGATGGAGTCCAAATTGTGGGGGAAATTATGGAACATATTCTTCATTGAGGTTTGTTTTTAGCTACTCCTATTCTCTGAGAGATAAAAAGCAGGGCAACATTTCTGTGGTATATTCATCCAAGATAAAAAGCAGGGTAACATTTCTGTGGTATATTCATCCAAGATGAAAAACTGACAAAACTTGCATAAATTGCATAAGCTAAACCAAACAACTGTATGCATTTATTTATCTCATTTACATACTGCTAAAATTATGCAACTCTGGTGGTTTACAATCACATTTAACAAGAAAGTGAACATGGCCATTTTGTTCTTTGAAAATTGCCCATCCCGGATTGTCAAATTTTAGTATAGTCCACCATCAATGACTCACTGCAGAATTATTTGGAAATGCACGGGGATATTTCTATGCCTAAATTACCTGGCCCTAATTACTAAACTCTTTGAAATTCAGAAGTTCTCACTTCCCTTGATATTATCCCTTATAAAATAAGAGGATGTTCATCATTTCTGTTTTTTATAGAGATACACAAACTGAGGCAACACGTCCCTTAAGCCACAATGTGACTTGTCTGGTTTAATTTAGTATCATGTACATCTGGCAACTGTGGTTTGTAAATTGTGGTTTAGGGGTTGATATTAGATGCAAGCCCAGCAATTGTGCTTATCATGATTCCAAGTCAGCATATATGACATATATATATATGACATATATGACAGCCAGATTCCCCAAATCTGATTCACTCAGGAATAATTCAAGTCACCTCTTTATTTACCTAAACTTCTGAATTAATCCAGAGCTGGTATTTCAAATCCCTAAAATGAATGCTGTCCTATAATTCCTGAGTATGAAAATCTAAGATCTATCATGGTTTCCATGGTGCAGAATAAATCTTTCTTGGCCCCAGAGTCCCACTTGCATCTGGGGTATTGAGGAATAAGGGTAATTTACTTTGCATATGCAAGGGAGATGAAAGATTTTGTGAAATAGGCTGCCACTTTCACAGTAATTTCCTGTAACAGCACTTTCCACAGGTACAGTATAGGGAAATCAGGGATAGGGAGGGGAAGGATAAGGTATGCCTCATATAATAGGGCTTAATAGTGAGCAAGTTTCCATTTATGCCAATAAGGCTGCAGCAGGATCCATGAACCTTGGTGCTTAGAACTCATTTCTCAGTACAATGCATTATGAACAGTCCTGGTCTCAGCCTAGATTAATTTTAGATTAGTCATTGACTGGAGTCCAGTTTTAAAGAAGTATTTCTTGACAGGGTGGTGGTTTGAATGTTTGTTAAGTCATTATTTGCTTTAAGCATGGTTTGTTGAAATAATTTTGGGTTTAGGAATCTCAGTAAATTGATTTATGCAAATAAATCATGATGCACAAGCCACATTTGCCAGATTCATACAACCCAAAGTATAATGTTTCCAGATTTGGTTTCTTTGGTGTTCTGGGAGGGAAAGTCTAGCTCAGTGCTACATTGGTCTATTGCTTGTGTGAATGCAATAATAATGAAGTAATAATACCAGTGATTAAACTAATAATGGCTACTTAAGATCAGAGAGATTATAGCAGCTGCCAGGAAGATTAAATCTGCAATCTGGATTTTTAAAAGGAGGCATGTTATTTATATTGTGAAGAATATCAATAGTTGGCACTTGAGAATTTCTTGATATTCCGTAAATATATTGTTGAGTTATTTGGACATAACCCCTTAGGGACAAAGACATCCCAGTTAATTAACTAATTAAATTTGTCAGTTATGCCATGGCAGGAACCAGAAATCTTATCTTAGTCTGGTAAAGTTCTCTTTCCTTTTTTACTGGATGATGATGGATAATTGCACTAATACATTTGAAAATCCTCTCCACCTTTCTCTTGTTAGGCCACAAAAACTAATAAAAGTTGTGCCACAATTGGTAGTAGCTAGTTCTATTGTGTTTTTGCAACTTGGTAGAATTGGATATATTTAATAGCCTTTAATAGTATTTGTAATTAAATGTAGGAAGCTGTATTGCACATCACAACAAAAGAGAACTACTTAATTCACTCGGCTCCAATCTGGCCTTGTGCTGATTGGGGGGATTTCTGTACCACTGAAGGACAAATGGTTGGAGCACCTTGAAGTAATCCAATAGTCAATAATCTATTTCTTCTCAAAAGCATTCCAAGGAGATCAAAAATATTTTTTTGCATGTAAATCAAAGGAGATAATTACATTTTTATTTTTTTATCTGAAAAGGATGGGTGGGAAATAGCCAGCATACAAACCCCAAGAAAAGGTACTTCTTGGAAAAAACAGATTCACAGAACTCAACCAGTAATGCATTGCAGTTGAAGTAAGTGTAAAGAGTAAATGAAGACTATTTATACCTGATCCATTTTAGGAAGCTCATTTATTGACCCAGGTGAAGTGCTTTTGTATTCTGTATCACATGTGGAGCAGGAAAGGATATTTCTGTTCACAATTAGAATAACTGAATGGCCCTCAGAGAACAGAAAATACTTTGCCTATTTTCTGTTTCCAAACCTCTAGTATTTTGGAGTGGTGTGGGTATATTAAATGCATACTTACACAAACATGTGAAACTCTGCAGTAGAAGGGAGCAACTTGGGGAGCTGCTTGGGAAAAAAAACACCTTCTGAATCTGTTTCTGTGGCTCCCAACTGCTGTTTCTTTTTCCCTGAAGTGGGTTTTCTGTTTTAAAAATGGCTGACAAACTATAGCAAGATAGGCAAACTGGTACCTTAGGGATTTTGTGCTTGGATTTCATAGAATCACAGAATTGGGAGGGACCATTTTGGCCATCAGGTCCAATATCCTGCTTAGTGCAGGAACCCAAATTAAAGAATTCTGGACAAATGGCGATCTAGTCTCCACTTGAACACATCTAGTGAAGGCAGCCCAACACTTCTCTGCATGATTGGTTCCATTTTTGAATTGCTCTTACTGTTTCTGTAACATTTAATCATCATCTGCCGTGTAACTCCATTATTCTGTCTCGTGCACTCTGGAGCGAGAGAGAACAAGCCTTGACCTACTTGGATCTGACATACTTTTGGGCATCTGAAGAGTGCTATCTTGCATTTGTCTTTTCTCAAGGCTAAACATGCCCAACCACATCAATCTCTCTCTTCATAAAGAGAGGTCTGAGCTCCCTCATTATCCATACTGCTGTTCTCTGAAGCTTCTTTGGATGCTTTTAAAGTGTGGTTCCCAGAACTGGGCACAGAAATCTAAATGAGATCTGGACACAAATCTAGATGAGATCTGTCCAAACCAGAATAAAGTAGAACAATTACTTCTCATGATTTGGAAATTATATTTCTAATTATACTTCCCTTCAATCCCAGCTAGCATGGCCAGTGGCATTAGTCTGTGGAAACTGAGTCAGAGTATCTGGAGAATAACAAGTTCTGAGCTGTAAATGTTTTACGTATAATTGGATGACATAGGCTGACGAAATGTCTCCACTGCTACGTTATAAACCTCTGAGGGTGACTACGGTGAAACCACTTATCCCACCTATTCTTGTTTAAGTCAAAGGTCTCCTCTGAATTAAGTGATTTGAAGATTTATGGTCTTATCAGCATTGTTTTAAAACTGTCACACTCTAACAAGCAACAATCAAATTTAGAAACGCAACTTTGGAGATCTTCATTTGAGTCCTAAATGCATGATCAGCTACAGCCTTCCTCATCTTGGTTCCTTCCAACTATGTTGGACTGCAACTCCGATCATTCAGTATCATGCTGGAGTTCATCATTTCTTGGGTGATGGGAGTCTGTTGGGTACCATAGATGGTACATATACATATGTGGGCTAATGCAGTGTTCTTTACTTACCATTTCTTTCTCCTCCAGGTTTGCTCCGCTTTCACAGCAGAACGGGGGTCCTACAACCATGTAAAAATGCACCATGCTTATACAAACGTCATTGGCCTTGGGGATTCCAGTACATGGAAGGTTCCTTTCCTGAATCGTTATGTTTACATGTTCATTGCACCTATTGCTGTACCTATTATCACTCCCTTAGTGGCTATTGGTATGTTACTGTCCTCTGAATCCTTTTACTAATTAGTATACCCTTTTCTTCATTAGTTTTACAGTGTTAAATGTAGAATGCAATTAAATGTCTTCATTCATTCATATTGTTTGTCACTGTAGCTCACCATATGTAGTATCCTGCCTTTGAAAGAATCTGAGAAGTAGAATGAATAAAGATAAACCAGCCTAAACCTTCTTCCATGAAATAAAGCTATCAACCTAGCAGCTTGCAACATAAATTAGATTATTTGATATGTTATTGGATATGTGCTTCCCTCTGCTCCTGTTCAATTAAAAAATAGACATCTATGCTAAAAAAAAAAAAAAAAAAGGCCAGATTTTGAAGGATTATGATCAGGCCTCCTGATTTTTTTTTTAAAAGAGAATTTCACATTTGATCAGAGAATGAACACTGGGGAAAGGGGTATCTGATCCTTTCCCCAGAACAACTACATTATTCCCTCCCCCCAAGCTGCAATACATCTCACAGGGGAAACTCTATCTTTATTTTCTTCTGATTTTTTTTTTAAAAGAGAATTTCACATTTGATCAGAGAATGAACACTGGGGAAAGGGGTATCTGATCCTTTCCCCAGAACAACTACATTATTCCCTCCCCCCAAGCTGCAATACATCTCACAGGGGAAACTCTATCTTTATTTTCTTCTTTTGGGAGTTCCAGGCCATCAAAAAAATAGCACAAAGGACAATTTTGAACTCCTTCTTTCAAAGCACTTTTTTTGGACGTTTTAAACCTTGTAGCCCTGTCCTAAATCTTACCAGATATCTCCTAAATGATGTCAGCTTGCAAAAAATTGTGGTTGCAGTTCAGCAGATATAAAATTACTTAAGGGAGAAACGGTAGTTTACACCAAACCTGCACTACCTTTCCACGTTCCATAGCAGTGTGATTTCCCATAGTAGCAGCCCCTTGTCAAGCCCCTTAACTGCAGAGCACAATCAAGGATATAGACTTTTTAAAATTAGTTTTAAAGCTAAGGATTAGGGCTTAGAGTGTAAGATCTTGAGAACAGATGAGAGGAAACTTCTAGTCATTCCTTATTAGTGAGTTCATTAGGCAAGGTCTCTGAATTTCTTTCTTCAAGGCTGTTTGCATGATGGACTAAGTATCCATTTCTTTGATAAGTCTGTAACGTCCTCTTCCATCTCTCAATTGTTTGTCTCAATAAATACCCCTTTCCCTTTCTCAGCCTCAGCGCAATTTCTCATACCACTTATCTACAGAGTAGCAACAAGAAGACACAGTAGCTTCCCTACTCACTAACTGATGTTTCCATAGGTTTACTCACAGAAGTTGAACTGAGAACTGCCATTCGGACTCTCTGTTGTATATTCATTGGTCTGTATGCCCATTATTGGCTGCTGCTTAATGTCTCAGGGTTCCAATCTACCTGGTATGCTCTTGGCTGTATGCTGATCACACGTGCTCTCCTCGCCCATGCGTACATCCATGTTAATATCTTCCAGGTAAGGCTACCAACCCTATACTGTATAAAGAAATCTACAACGTGGCGTCCTTCACTGTGACTCATAAATGCCTGCATTGGTAAAGTGCCCATGTTTTCCCATTGACTGGGAAACCAAAGAGGTTGAGAAAGGGGATTTTGGAGACTCTTTCAAGTCAATTAGAACAACCATTTTCAATGATTTTGCTGTATGTGGGTGTGCTAAAAGATTGCGTTGAGGCGATGATCTTGTGCATAGTCATGTAAAAGTAAGCATGCTTCTAGCTGTAGGCTTCTTAGAAGTACCAGATAGTATTGAGCAGTCATTTCATCACTCATTCCTTAATAGATACTTTCTGGTTAAAAAAAAAACACTGGGAAAATATGGTAGAGTTTCAGATTGTCCTGAACTCTAATAAATATAGTCTTACATAAACTTGGTGAGACTTGCTTCCAGGTATTTGACTGTATCCTTCCTTCCTTCCCTTCTTTCTTTTTGTCATAAAATTAAATGCTGAATACTGAGTGTTTCTCAGAAAGATTCTAATTTGCAGTCGGGGAGCTTGGAGCTCCAAATGTTGCTGAATTCCCAACATCTGTCTCCACTGGCTGTGCTGGCTGAGTTCAGTAACATGTAGAGGGCTACATGTTTTCTGTCCCTTGTTCATACCTGTTCCCTTTTTGTGTGAGTTTTTCTCCAAATATTCCACAGAGTGAAATCAATAAAATTGCAAAGGATTTGGACAAATCATTCAGATGTTCCTTTTCACAGTTAAAAATCCTTCTTGGCTGACAGCATTGCTATCCAAGATTTTTGGCTTCCTGACTTCCTAATAAACTAACATTTGTGGTTTATCTTTAGCATATTGGCCTCCCCATGTTTTCAGCTGATAAGAAGCCAAAACGAATCCACATGATGAGCTGCGGGGTTCTCAATTTGCCTCGAAATCCTCTGCTGGACTGGGCTTTTGGACATTCACTCATTAGTTGTCATGTGGAGCATCATCTCTTCCCAACTTTTTCTGATAACATGTGCCTAAAGGTACGAGGTTGAATAGCAGCTGGAATGGGCATTTTAATGGGGCAAAATAAATGTCTGTTGAATATTTACTTGCAAAGAGAAGAGTATGTAATTAACAGATGATGAGTTTCATATAGGCCAAAATCCTATCCTTCAGAAACAGAAAAAACATATGTTCTTGGTCAGAAATTAGTTTTACCAGAGTTCAGGCTGCTTTGAGATTGAAATGGGGCATTGGGCAAAAACTACAAATCCCATTCAATAGGCCTGAAATAATATTTTCTGAAGAATAAGTTTCATTTTTGTATTATAAGAAATATATTTCATATTTTTAATACCTGTACTCATTGATTTTCCACAATTGGATATTCTAATTCTTCCTTCCACAGATCAAATATATAGCTAATACTAGATTTCATTTTACTTTTTAATACTTTATATAACAAAATTGTTGGTTACTATTCAAGTGCAGCATCTCTTAAAGAAGATAAAATTGCAGGTACCTCAGAGGTTGCTAAAGCTTCCAGTCTATACTGTTTAATTAATACATATTTCAGTTGTATATATTGCTAAATATATATTGAAGGCAAGTTAAACACAAAAGACAATATCTCAAAACCTTTAAAACAGCCATTAAAAATTTCTGTCATTTTTAGCTGACCAATGATGCTCTCTATATTTGGCTCTGGGCCTATCCTAATCAATAATAAAAACAAGTAATTACTGTAATACTAACCTTACCTTCCCATTTCAGATAAAACCTGTGGTTTCTCAGTATTTGAAAAAGAAGAATTTACGATACAATGAGGATTCTTACTGGTCCCGCTTGAAGCTGTTCCTGGACAGATATGAAGAACTGATGGTCCATGCACCTCCTATTTCTGAACTTGTTGGGATTCAGTAATGTTACCTTTATGGCTAGAGATAGAGCCTTAAGGAAGCATGGTTTCTTTTTCCCAGATCAATGCATTTAAAGCCCAAGTTAAGTTATCGTGGAGAAAATCAGTATGTCTTTTATGTCTTCCATATGGGACAAGCAAAAATTATCTTTAGATACTGGATCCAGCTGCCCAGTAATGGGTCACAGGGGAAAATCAATAGCTCCAATTGATTCTGATGTACCACCTTTGCTTTTCTTCTCTGCTGTACTAATCTTTGCACACTGTTATCTTTAATGGATCATTTCCATTCTGCTATTCTGCAATTTAAGGGAGGGAATTATAAGGGCTATTTAACATTCTTCCTCTTACACTAAGATAACTTCCAAGTTAAAAGACATTCGTACAGTGAAAACTTTGAAAAGTTGTGTGTAGCAATTTCTTTTCCTCATCTTGGGTGTAAGACTCAGACAGATGACATAGATCACTGCTGCTAACTGATCTGAAATCCACAGTGGAGGAAATATATGTATTTCTGCAATAGATGTATTTCTTTAGAGCAGCCTTCCCCAATTGGTGCCTTCTAGATATGCAGAAACGCCAATTATCAGAATGCCAGCTAGCATGGGATTTTCCGAAATTCTATAACATCTGGAAAGAACACCTGGAAAGAAACTATTTGAGGAAGGTTTTCCTAGAGGTTAATTCCTTTGGGAGCATAAAGAAACACGAAAATACTGCATTGACTGTTGGACTGATACTCACAGAACTCTAATCACGTGGGACCTTCGTATTGTAAAGAGGTACGTCTTGCCACATGCTTAATGGATTTTTATCTTTAGCATACCCTCAAGGTGACAGCCCCTAGCCTACCTTGACTGTGCTGGGAAGCTTAGGAGGGTCAGGCCTAGTGTGTGCTTAGATGGTAAACCTCCAGGGAATCCCAGGTTTGAGGGCTAGACTGGGAAGTCAGAAACTACCCTGGAAGACAACAATAGTAAGCCACTTTTGTACTATTGCCAACCCCCCCCCCCAATACATGGATCCGTTATTGAAGTCACCAAGAGTTGAGCTTGACTTGAAGGAGACTTTATTAAAATTTCTCCTGTTGCAAAAAGCAAAAAGCAAAAAAAAAAAGTTTATCCAAAACATGATGGCAAATGGTTGAAGGGAACAGAACTATCATTACCAGTGGAACTTTTATTAACAAAAGTGATGCAAAGAAGGACTGTATGAAAGTTCCTGCTGAAGAAGATGGTGGTATATATGCAAAGAGGGACTAAATTATTACCCAGTCCACTAAATTATTACCCAATCCACTTTTCCTTTTGGATACTAAAAGGAAAAGTATAAAGCAAGCAGATTAGGCAGGCAATAGCAACTAGATAGCCTTGAAAAAATATTCTGAAGTAAACTCTGACCTGATGAGCTGGCACGATCACCATGTTCTCTGCTAGGTCAAAACCAGTTATTTGTTCTCAAGGTAAAAAATGTTTATGCAAATGTTTATGCAGCATGCAGGTGTAAGGAATCTTCTTAAAGAATGAACATCCACATGTTTATTATATGTTGCCTGGGTATTTATTACATGAAAATTAGCTAAACGATCATGTATGCTGGGAATCTATGTATTCTGCTCTTGTTTCTACCCAAGGGTCCTTTTTTCCTTTCTGGAGACGTGCCCAATGATCACTGTTTATTATTTATGGAAGGAAGGTGCATACTGTTAACTTTCTCCAGCTTGTTAGTAGTTTCACTTGGGATATATCCCTAATATTGCTGAAACATTTCTATCAGGAGAACGTGCTTTTCAAATAGGTAATGAAAATATATTTCTGTCTTTTACCCAATTCATTTAACGTCTAAAAACTGGTTTGGGGAAATCTGGAATATTACTAAGAACTGAAGGGGTAACGGTAAAGCAGGAAGGGAAAGCTAAAGCTGAGCTATGGAGAACAGAGAGAGATAACTTCACTATCCTGAAAACATGTATCTGTGAGTGGATACTTAGTGTGTGAATATATATATATATATCTTTTGAACAGTTCCATACTAAGAAAAATAGTCTCCTTTGAGTTATGCTTAGCTTCCAGTGACTTCATGCACACATCTGGGTAGCTTTGTTGGCGACAGTATGAAAGTGGTTTCCCAGTGCCCTTTGTTGAATGCCCTTTCTGATTTCTCAGCCTAGCCTACATCCTGCTTGTACTCTGGAAGAATCTTATCCTAACACTCACAGGGCCTCACCCTGCTTCATTGATTTAGGGTGTTACATGAACTCAATCAGTGTGTCAGGTAAATCAGGATATAAGTTTACCATGGGTGAATCTAGACCATTATGGTTTATTGAATAAAACATGCTTAATAAATCTGCTTTAAGTGTGATGTCTGAACCCAGCTATACACTTGAGTGGATAGAAAATGAAAGTAAACCATAGTTTGGTGTCTGGCTCAGGACAAATGAAGCAACAGGCATTAAAAGTCCTCAGAGAAGAGTATACCTCTAAACATTCACATATATTTCTGGAAACCAGTCTAACCTTTAAAAACATACAGAGTTGGTTTTTTAATGAAACCTTCAATTTGATGGGCACTGAGTGAAATTAAGGCTTTATCATTTCAGACTGGAAGTGAACACTGCATAGGGAATAATCCTGAGCTGGCAGAATGGGGTTGGTTTAATTTCCTATCCATTCATCTACATTAACTCATTTTATAATGGTTTGATTAATCAACATCACAATTCTGTGATTTGCAAGGCTCTAAAGGCTTCCCAGTCCAGTGGCACAAAGATGAAAAAGGGGGAGCATTATTCAACCCAGCCTTACTCTGATTTTGTTTCAGATTGTGTGAAAAATCAATTCCACTGCCACATACTGCTAACATGATCACGGTTCAGTTTGGAAACAGTAAGTTTGACCAGCTGTATCCTGTCTGGAATAAAGCTTAACTATGTGTGTATGTATTCAATCTAGCTAGAAGCAAACACCCTTAAGGCCAATGGGGCTTATTCACAGCTAAGTGCTCACAGTATTCCACCCTTAACAGATACTAAAATTGAATAAAGTATACTCTGGCTGGGTTCAGACATGCTAAGCCAAAATTGGGTTTTATCTGCAGCCAGTTGTGCATTATTTAATAAATCATACAGTAGTAAAACAAATGGAGTCTTAGCTAGGGCTACCATATATAGCTGCAAAAACCTAGACAGCCACAAGAGGGAAGCAAAGAGATACAAAACGACTGCCATCTAGTGGTTGCCTGTAGTTCTGCAGTCCATAGATAGTAGCCCTAGTTAAGCGTAACAGATAAATCCACTGACATATATATGTAAGTGTCACACTATTTTGCACTCTGTGTAATGCTTCAGAAGCATCATTATGCAGAGCACAGAAGAGGAATCAGAAATACTAAGCCAAAGAAATTAATGGCATGAGATAAGGAAAAAAGGAAACATAGATAAAACTCTTTTACATCAATACCATTCAGTATATCTCTCCATACCTTTTTATCCTTGCAAACCAACTTTTGGTTCTAAATGCTGCTTCATACATTGCTTTTTGTTCTTTAAATTTATTTTTTTCAGACTCTCATCAATTCCAACATGACTTTTTCAGTCTTCCCTTTCCTCTCAATCTTTCACTCTTCCTTCATATATTTGTCTTACAATTAGATCCTCATTAATTCTATATGCATGACCAAACCACCTCAAAATACTTATTTCATGCTGGTCTCTCACTTTTGTATTAAATTCACATTCATTCATTCACATTCATCATTTTTCATCTAATATACCCAACTCTAATTTCCAACATAACAAACTGGCAGAAGCCTACTCTTATACACAGCCATTTTTTTTTCCAATGAACATTCATTCTTCACAAAAGAAACTTTACCAACTCTTTCTACCAATACTTCCACGTCTTAAAATTTCTCAGTCCAGTTTACCACCTTTACTAAACTTATTGCCAAGATATAAAAATTCATTTACTTGTTCTAGGGTTTTTATGCCATTTATGTATAACTTGCAATGGTTCACAACTCCCTTGGTCTTTGGTACATTAATCTGCAGATTCAAGTTCCTCAGTGCATCATACAATCTAACACTGGCTGCAAATTATTCATGTTCTCAGCCAACAATTCAGCCTTATCTGCAGACAAACATTTAAGTATATTTATGTTTCCAACCAACACACCATTAACATCATCAGAAACATTCCTTATACTATAGTCGCCCAGAGTCGTTGAGAGTGTGGCATACAAATAATAGCAGCAGCAGCAGCAGCAGCAGCAGCAGCAGCAGCAGCAGCAGC